GGCAGCTATGAGCAGGTGGAACTGGTCTCAATAGGCCCGTTGAGGCCACTCAGAAGTTGGGGACCACAGCAAGGAGCTGGGAGTCCACAGTTCAAGACTGGAGACAGGAAATGGCCAAGAACAGCAGGGAGTAGAAACCTTGTCACTGGTGGAAAGCAAGCATGTTCTGGAGAACAGCATGCAGGACTGTGATGGCAGCTGAGCTCAGAAACAGAGCAGTGAAACATCGAAACAGGCTGTCCAGAGAAACACTGGAGTCTCTCTCACTGGAAATATTCAGGACACAACCTGATAGAGCCCTGAATGACCTGATCTAAGGCCCTGTTTCAAGAGAAGACTGGCCCAGGTGAGGTCCCATCAAACCTAGACATTTCCATGACACTGTCTGTCACTATGCCTGTCATTTCAAAGATGAGATCAGAGACTTCCAGTCCCAGTTCAGCAATGGTCTCAAGCTCCCACGCACCTTCAACCATCTTCTTCCTTCCCCAGTAATATTGTCAGACTTCAAATTAAGCATATGCTTCTGAGTTTTTCTAGTTTGGGAGTCACACATAATTTTGTTTCTGTTCAAACAGTGTCTGGATTTTCCCAAGCCTTTATCCATGAGCACTTCTATTCTCCTCTCTTTTTGTGAGCTTCACTTAATACTTGCAAAGCAACTGCAGACTCTTAAAAGATAGTCACTAATAGCAAATAGTAACCAGCAACTGTTTGATAACATTTGTCCCGTCACAGCACACAAAGAACTTTATTTCTTTTCAAATTACATGATTTTAAGTGAATGCTTGCAGTAGGTCCCTCATCAAACAAATAACATACAAATATTTTGTTGATGAGCCAGAGTGATTGTTTGCAATCACATTCCACTTAAAATTTTGAATTTGGCCAGTGGTTATGGTATTAGGGGGATAGGCAGAGGGAACTTCACAAACAGTGATATGAACCATTAAGTAAGATACAGAGATGGACTTACTTAAACAGAACAACCTCGGTGAATGTTTCATTCAATTGCTTAAGGGATATCTTTTTTTTGCCGTTTTTTCTTAAACAGAAATAACAGAAATACATCACAAGCTGCCGTTTCTCCTGCCCAGGGCATCAGGATGCCTATTTGCTGTACAGCAGTGAATTTGCTCATAGCATCACTACATGTTCTAGCAGTATGGGGTTTTACCTGAAATAGTACCATACTATGAAGTACATATTTGGATAATTCTGTTCTTTTTCCTGGTTGAGCTTAGGATATGGATATGCAGAAGACAAAGAAAAGAGGGCATTATCAAGAACTGGGAACAGCAAGAATACCTGGGAATCAGGATGAGAATAAGCATGAACTGAGAAGCAAACGTCAAGAAAATCTGGTGCTCCAAGAGAAAGCTGAAAAACTTCAGAGACAAAACCACAAGAGGTCTGACGGGTCAATTCTCCTAATCAAGTCTCACTTTCTCAAACTGAGCTCATCAATGCTTCGGCACATACCCAGTTATTTCTACCCTGATTTACTTAGTTATTTTAAACACTTCAATAGCTGTCCAGTGAAGACTGAAAACCAATCTTCTGGGAATCTTGCTCTGCACATGGATTGCAGCTTCATCATTTTTGCAGCTCAACTCTTTGCAGTATTTTATTAATCAAAAGAATTACATACCAGAAAGAATACATTAAAACTACGTTATCAGAAGCTATTTTAAACACCGGAATGAAAAAAAGGCCATAGAACAAAAGATTTTTCTGCTGTTATTTGAGTTCTCAAGACAAATAAACAGAAATGTATTATGAAAAAACTTTCATAAAATGTATTCTATATTTCAAGTCAGTCTTCCTATTCCTAAAACATATTACAGCCTACAGTTCATTTCTAAGATTCAAATGTTACATCTACATAAACAATTCAGCATGACTACCCATACCAAATTTGCATGTTCAAGACTAATTTTCACTGTGCAAAAATCAGAAACATACTCTCAGTTAAACAGCAGCAAACTCAGTATAAATTATATTGAGACATTAACCCAAAGAGCCTTCTATAAGCCATAGGACCACGACTTAGGACCACAGGACTTCAGATTTAGTTTCCATTCTGCTCTTTGCTCCCTCTCTCATTCCTTGTCAAAGGTAGAGAACTCAAGCCACGCAGAATTAAACCAGATTTACTTTTAGATGCTGACAACTCAAAGTCAAGGGAACAGTGTATAAATTTCTCCAGAGAGACTGCTTCCATATAGAGGAGGAAGATTCACAGCATTTCCAATTATGAAAACCATCATAATTTTCACAACTGTCAAAAATTTTCTGGATTTTTTTTTAATTGCTGAAGCATGAGTTAATTTTAAGCATTTATCTGAAAAACACAAGTCATTTTACAGCAAAATTTAAATGGTTAAATATGTATCTTCTCTAGCTCTCAACAAATTCACAGTACCTGATTTCATAAAAAACCACAAATCTTGTTGAGTTGAATAAAATGTATTGAAGATGCTTCCAGTACCATTCTAAAACCTTACTTTGATTCTTTAGAAGCTGACGGCTTCAATATTCAAATCAACAACAGGAGAAACTGCTTCTATGAAATTAAAAACAAATCTTTTAAAGTTACTCCTCAAGCCAGCAGTGTGTGCTTGCAGCCCAGAAAGCCAACCGTATCCTTGGCTGCATCAAAAGGAGTGTGACCAGCAGGTCAAAGGAGGTGTTCCTGCCCCTTTACTCTGCTCTTGTGAGACCTCACTTGGAGCACTGTGTGCAGTTCTGGTGTCCTCAACATAAAAAGGACATGGATCTGTTGGAACAAGTCCAGAGGAGGCCACGAGGATGATCAGGGGACTGGAACACCTCCTGTATGAAGATAGGCTGAGAAAGCTGGGGCTGTTCAGCCTGGAGAAGAGAAGGCTGCGTGGAGACCTCATAGCAGCCTTCCAGTATCTGAAGGGGGCCTATAGGGATGCTGGGGAGGGACTCTTCATTAGGGACTGTAGTGGTAAGACAAGGGGTAATGGGTTCAAACTTAAACAGGGGAAGTTTAGATTGGATATAAGGAGGAAATTCTTTCCTGTTAGGGTGGTGAGGAACTGGAATAGGTTGTCCAGGGAGGTTGTGAATGCTCCATCCCTGGCAATGTTCAAGGCCAGGGTGGACGAGGCCTTGGGTGATATGGTTTAGTGTGAGGTGTCCCTGCCCATGGCAGGGGGCTTGGAACTTGATGATCTTAAGGTCCTTTCCAACCCTAACTATTCTATGATTCTAAACCTCTCCGAGCTAAGTTCCTAAAACTATTCTGTTTTACAGAACATAGTCTAGATTTTTTTAGTGATAAGTGCAAACTCTACCAAACTGCAAACTCTAGATCATATTGAAAAAAACATTTGGGATTATGCCCAAGTTTTCATCTGTTTTCACTGCAAGCCTGTCTTTAGGACCTAGGGGAAACAAACCAATCACAGATGCACCAGCATCAGGTGAATTAGGTAAATAATCACAATTGTTATATATTTTAAGTATGGCCCTAATCTTTAGTTTTTTCAGTTCATCATTTTTAAATAGTCTGAAATTCATGCATCTGGCAGAGCTGATTTAGGCCATGCACAACCCCCAGTGATCAGACACTTCAGGATAAACGAACTGTATCATGACCCTCATAGTTACAGCACGCTCTGGTTAACTCCAAGACAGCAAGACCCGGCACACAGGCAAAGCCATGCTCACCAGAACACAGTTATGCAAAGCCAACATTAAAAAAAAAAATAATAAAGAAAATAGAAAACCAAATTGAGTATAAAGTTGTTTTTCAAGTGTCAAGAAAAAAGGAAAAACAGTGTTACAGCACAGGAAATGGGCTCACAGGCAACAGAACAAAGGCCACCAGGCATAAGATGGAAAACGAAGACCTAGAATAGGCTTATCTCAATCAAGACTAGAGACCTGTTTTCTTGAAGATGTTATTATGAGATTATCATGAGTGGGAAAACTGATCCATAATTCCCTTCCACGCACTCCAGGCATACACTCAAAACACTGTAAATCAGAGCAAGTTTGAAGAAAGTCATTGCTTTCTCCCACCCAAATTATAAACTTTAATCACAGTCTCCAGAGTTGGGTATAACTACATTTATGTCAGACAGATCACATCAGAAAAATCTCCATTTAAAATAACTGAAATATGGAAAAAACCCACTCTGATTGTTTATGACAAATGAAATTGAAGATAACTGTAGTTAAATTCCTTACTGTGCAGTGACATATTAAAGACTAATGCACGAGCAAATTTCCTTTGAACCTCCTCAAAAATTCAACATAACAAGAGGAACAGAAATCTTATTTTTGTATTAAATCAATTCCTAAGTACTCAACACAACAGAAAAAAAGAACACAAATTTTCAGGACAATATCTCTCCCTCACTGAAATGTAAAGCACTGGAGTCAAAGGAGGATTTAAGGGCTCTTATTCTTCAGAGAATGATGAAGACACTGAGATTCAAAGTTACTTTTTAAAAAACAAATACAAAAATCCAACAAAACAAGCCTTCCCCCCCCCCCCCCGAAAGAAAACACAACAAAAAAGACCAACCAAAAAAACCCCAAACCCAACAGGCAGCTTCTAGTGTTCAATCCCAAACTGCGTATATTTAAGGAAACTACAGTTTAAAAGCAATTTGTGACAATTTGGTCTCACATAGAGCCTTACTTTTTAATTACATTTGAAATTATGTGTATTATATGTGATTTTAAAACAATTATTCAAAAAAGAAGCAATTTGCTTGGCCTGTAAAACAGCAGGTGCTGCATGTAAGTTACAGAAAACTACCATTAATACCCACAGGCAGATAAATGCCATGGTGCTTCAGAATTAAATAGACGGAGATGTTACCATCACATCATCTCAAGAAATCAGATTACATTCATATTATGCTCCAAGGAGGAAAAAAAAATAAATCAACATATTTCTAGCTGATCAAACCATTCCACAGGTATTGTATCAGTGACAAAATGCCAAGAGGACTCACCTGTTCAATCTCCTTTGTCTTAGTTGCAATTGCTTTTGAGCGACCAAGAAGCTGACCGTCCTCGTATAATTCTGTACTGTCTGTTATATTTGTTTCTGCTTCCTCTGTTTGTTCACTGTATAACAGAGCTGAAGATCCAGCCTTAAAAAAAATACAAGCAAAATAAAAACCTCAAAGTGCAAGAGCAAAACTAAACACCCAAATACAGTCATTCAGCTATTCAGTTTGCTTACCAAGGCTACCAGTGAAGCATTATTGCTACAGTCTAACATATACAGAAATATGGATTTTAAACATGCAGAAAACATGGCATCATAGAAAACCTGTGACTCAGTGTTAACTGTATAAAGACAATGATGTGAGGTAACCTTTACCCGCCCTTCCATTGAGAAGGAAGGCCACCCTAACTTGTACATGTGATATTTAGAACACCAGCTAGCAAGAAAAATCCACAATCAAAGTGGGATTAGCTCTCTGGGAAAGGATAAAATAACAAAATCAAAGGTAAATAGGCATCAATGAAATCAAAACGCTGCCAGAAATAACTCTTGCAGCACTCAGGACCACAGGTTTATACTATCAAATGGACATAGATACCTATTATAAAGGAAAAGTCAACGAGTGCATAGAGGATTCCTGATAAGATGGGAAATCTTACTGAAGTACCAGAACTGTATAAGCTTCCCTCTAAAACAGAAATTAAGATAGTATCCCTGCCCAAAAGCAAAAAAACTCCCACTCCAAGGAGTCTATAAAGAAGATAGAAAGGAGAAGAAATTACCATAGCCTACTGAAATCCAGTATTATGCAAGAGAATTCTAGAGTAGTAATTTGTTTTGTGGGTTTTTTTTTTAAATCAGATTTGAGAATTGAGGATGCAGAAAAATATTTTCCACTATTCCAAAATAAAGAGGTGAAGAGTCCCAAGACATAAACTAACATGAAAGAGAAAAGCATTAGATCTAAAGAAAAAAAAGCTTAAGAGTGGTCCTAAGAGCATCTGCTCAGAGCTTAGCAGCAATGTAAACCATTAAGACTGAATCCCAAATCAAATTGCAACAAACCATGAAATGCCTGAGATTGATTAAAGGCTGCTAAAAAGTTCAGGGCAATGCAAACTTTAGCTACTAAGAACTATATAGATAAACTGGAAAAAGATGAAAAGCATTGCAATTCATACACGACAGCCTACTACTAATCAAGGTGAGAAGTATCCTTTCTTCTAGGACTCAGAATGATATACTTCACTCCTTCGTTAGCATTCCTACAGTGCACTTTCTGAGCCAATAAATCATCTCAGACTCTGCCATAACCAACTGCAATTGCTTCATTTTGAAAATTACTTTAGTTTGAACCTTTTTGCCACTGCAATTTTCTCTGAGGCACAGTGGAAGGTTTAAACGACTCTTTTCCATGTGGCCCACTCTGTTCTTTCCTCCTTTACATTACCTTCCCCTCACCAAGAACAGGAGTGACATTTCTCATCACTCTTACTTTCCTTAACCCCTCAGAAATGTCCACGCATATGTTCTCCTCCATATGATATTCACACCTCCTTTTTTTTCAGATTTATTTTTCCTGGAGGGAAATGAACAGTTTATTTATCCAACTGGATCTTCCTGTACAGTATCAAGAAGCTGCTGGTGCACTCAGATATAACATCAATTGTCAGGACTTAAAAGTTCATATGAACATGGATCCAGTGAGTTGATTTCTCTAATCTAGCCCTAAAGTTTTACGAGTGTGAAACACAAAGAGGAAATCTGATGCTTCCCAAGGTGCTTTCGTCTTCCCTCAAATTATCCGCCAACAAATACAAAATACACATTAATTATGATGTTTAAGACATGAAATTTCATAGAGTAGGTACTATTTTGTTTTTGTAAGAGTGCCTGAAGCAAAGTTAAAGTTGAAGTTAAAATGATCACAGAATTAAAACAGACTGGTTTACAAAAAGACATTACACAACATTTGGTTTGTTTTAAATGACAAATACATCATCCACTAACATAGCAGAGTCCACGACATCCTATCCAAGAACAGCATAACAAAACAAAGACTGAAAAGGGCTACAATCACAGTTCAATATAGCAAGGGGTAGAAGAGAGGCAAGAATAAATGGGTATTAACCAGCAATTCATTAATGCTGATTACAGATAAAAGTTCTGGGGAAAAAATATCTATCCACTGCAGCACCAAAACGAAAGGTTAATTTTTAGTATAGAGGAGAACTGCTTTCTGGAAAAGAATAAATGACACAGTAGACTGACGTGACATGGAACTGAACTCAGTATACCAAAGGTTCTCTACTGTCTTGTGTTTCATAGGTACACTTGTATTTTGACTCAGAAGTCCCTTGCTAACTTTAAGGAGTTCAGTAAGCATACAGATTTACACTAGTGCAAGAGTTCCTTGGAGAATCCCTGGGAGAGCTGGAGCCTTATTCTGGCAGTTGTAACTCAACATGAATTTAAATTATACTAACAAAACCTACTTTGTTTTTGTGTACTCTTAAATAAATAAATCACAAGGCTTGAGTCTCCCTCTCACTCACTTTCAACAAACATTTAAGAGCATACGCAGACAAATCCAGGGGTAAATTACAAAATGTGCCTTTCAGGAGAGTACAGAAAAACAAGAGGCTATTGTAACTATTTAAAAGAAATTGATTAATAATCCTGTCTTACTTCATACTCTGCTTCAGGTACACTGCTTTCATCGGCCTTCTCTGACTTTTCAGCTGCCCACTTCCTTGCAGCTTCTGCAAGCTCCTTTTCTGTCAGTCTGTTGGTCTTATCTGAGGCCTGTACAAGAACATTACAGTCAAGGTTTCACATGAAATATATTTACACATGGCAAAACATCTTCCAAACTAATGTAAACAGTTTTTCAGATCCCCCCAAAATTTTAAAATAGGAAATAAGGAAGCTGAAGCTATTTCATTTGCTGACTTATTTCTTTAAAAAGAAAAGTGGCTGGAGAGAGAACAAAGGGAAAAAAAAAAAAGAAAAAAGAGAGAGAAAAACCACAAAGATAAATCAATGAAGTTCAGTAAAATGTTAAAAAAAGCACCGTACTTTCAGAATCAGTTTTATTAAATTCGTGGGACAGAGACAGCAGAAAAATTATTTGAGATCAATTGAGTTTAAAGAGACATGGAGGAAATGGACACTATGAAGTCAGATACAAGTGTGGAGGGATCTCACATTTCAACATGGTTTTCAGGCATGAAAGGTTGCAACTAATTTAAACTATTAAATGCTGTGTAGGGTGTAAAACCTGAGCTAATTAGGGACAAAATATTTTACACATACTTTAAATGATCAGAGCTCCTTCCATTAAAATTCATTATTTTTTATTGGGGGGGAACATTGATGATTTATAACAGAGTCAGTCATGGCTTTATAGCCTTTTAATCCACCTTTTCAGACTAAAATACTGCTATAAATAATATCTAAAAATTAATTTCTCTCCATTTGGCTTTTACTAACAGACAAACAGATGACAAATACCCATGTACCAAAACCAGTTCAGGAACAGCCAGCTTTATAAATCTTGTTACCACTACGTCAGTATTTCTTCTGAATCAACAAACATCCATCCAAGACTCTATACAATTCTAGTATTAAAACCTACAACAGTAAGATGGATACCTAAAAAAGATACAAGAATCCTCCTGCCTGAAAAATGTCCCAATTTCTACCCAATGTCAGTTCCATCATAGCAAACAGGTGGAAAAAAAACAAGCAAAAACCCCCAGCACTCTCCCCTCTCATCACTAGCTCATTCTAAATTACATAAAGGGCCAGCAGAAGAAAATCTTGTGAACTGTTACAAGACTGCTTCATCTTCAAACCTTTTGTACTTATCTCAAGTAAAATATTACCCAAAATTCTCTTTGTGCTGTAGTATGGCATTAGTATATGATTCACAGAATCCTTCCAGGATTTAGTGTCATAAGGACACCGCATTTATCCAGTTCCAGAAGAGAAGTGCAACACAATATTCAAACAGGAATCCCTCTTTTCTACTATTGTGAACTACAAAATTATAACTAGCAAATTCAGGAGGCAATGAAGTTCAATGTGCAGGGGAACAAAAAGGGTTCTTAAAAGAAAACAGTAGTATAATTCATAGAATAACTTGCCCAGCTCACCTTTCCAAACTACACTATTATTCTTTCACTAGTCTCACTAGAAACTATCTGCTGCCAAGGTTTTTTTTCTCCCCTCAACGTTCTCATTTCCCATAGTATGCCTTTTACCTTTAACCTTAGCTATCTGTAGCTGCCAAAAAACTCTTGTACTGTGGTTCTATTATGAATCTCTCCCTTTCCTCAAATGTGGCTCTGGCCAACACTAACAAAAATACAAAAAAGACCGCTATCTTTGTCACCGACAGTCAGTTTTGCACAGAATAAAGACAAATAAAATCTCACATGACCTACAGGATTTCCACAGCCATAAACAGAAACTAACCACTCTAGTACCTGCTGGAATGCAGCAAAATATCTGTTTAATTTAATCTCAATAAATTTAACTCTGTAAGTTGCATGTCAATAAATATCTATTAAAAAATCCTGAGTATGTTTTATGTAATAAAGTAACAGTATTTCCACAGGTACACTACAAGTAAACAACTGGAACATATTTCTCAGAGAACAATATCTGCAGCTACTTAAGTTGCAAACTTGCAAGAAATGAACAACCTATCCTATATCTTCTGAAACCCAACCAAACTTCCCCCTACCTCAAAACAGGGGTATCTTTTTTTCCTTTTTCTGTTACCTTATGCATAAGAACAGCAAAAACCTGACAGTATTCTGCTATCTTTGCTGCAAAGCTTTCCCTGTCTCACACATCTGCCTTTTGCTCTAATTATGTTGGATACAGCCTTCAAGGCTTGCAGTCCAGACAGCTATTAAAGAAAAACACAAAAGATTTCATACCATAGTCAATTAAACAGGTGGTTCAGATCAGATAGCACCCACATGTGTTAATTGACATGCATGAATATGTAAAAAAATTAATTATAAGACAGATAAGAATATCTTTTCAGATTTGCATATAGCTACTACAGTCAAAAGAGATATTGCTACAGAGGCATATAGCTTTGTAAGTATTTCAAAGCTAAATTATAACTTGGAGCATTGGAAGTTATCTCCTTTAATCTATAATATATATAACTCATTTCTCAAGTCTAAGAAGATTATAAGATTCTGGCACTAGAGATGCTCATGTTTTGCCAAGACTACTTCTGTTGGTATAACTGAACCACTAATGTAACTGAACTGGTTAGTGTAATTCAGCCATCACCCCAAAAGTCTCCCCTGACACAGGCCAGTACATTACAGGCAGATTTGGAGACTTCAAGAGAAAAGCAATAAAAGGTCACTGAAGTGCTTCCATTTCTGCAGCTGATGCATACCCAATAAATATTTATGTTGTATGAGGAAATGATTTCCATCAAACAGAGAGTTTCATTTTGTGTAGCTTACATCAAGTGGACAGCCACTGCCAGCAGATACATGCAAAGTGCTGGCAAAATCCCACAATATAGAATAGATCAGACTTGACTGAAGCAGAAAGCAAAACATTTAAAGAATACTTCACAGTTTAAGCACACACTGCACATTAATACAAGTGCAAGAGATTTTGCAATACCTCCTTGTTCTCAAAGGTTTGTATTAAGCAAGGATTTGGTATTAAGCTGTAGCATGCTGAGTCTGTAAACAAAATAGGTGAACTAATTATAAAGTTTATTTTATAATCCAAACCATCGCAACTTCTGAGTAACAGCTTTTATCTTGCTTTCCCTATTTACATCACTGAAAATATATCGCTTGCCTCCCCCCTTAAGGACATTGGCAATTAGCTAATGCCTAGCACAGCAGTTCTAAAAGAGCTGCATAAGGGATAAGTATTTGGAATGACAGCACAACCAAAGCCTGTTCTTTTCCCCACCTAATTATTTCCTTCAGTCTCACCTTCTCACAACAAAAAGTACCTTTCTTTCTTCTGATTTCTTTTTTGTTTAAGCAATCCACTGCTTTTATTAAAAAGACGTCAAGAACCAGGCTGGTACATCATGATACTTAGAGCGAATACTACTTTCTTTTGGGCATTGGACTAGATGGTCTCCAAAAGTCCCATCTATGATTCTGTGACTCTAATAGGGCCTTATTTACTTAAACCAATATAATGCACTGTTTCTTTCTCAGTAAAGTATTACTCAACTATGTAGAGAAAATACTCCAATGGAAGTGTTCATTTTAACCTCAGATATAATTTACAGGCAAGCAGTCTATGATGTGAAAATGTTTTTGCTGCCACAACAGTCTTGAATGCTACTTGTTCATCAGTGTTTATAAGCCTGTCCGTTTAACTAATTAGCAAGATCACATAGTTGGTGCTCAGCCCACAGATTTGATGGGAAATTAAACAGCATCATTTAGAACATAAAATTACATTTATCAAACTACCTTGCAATGTAGCTCCCTTCCCAAGTAAATGCTATCATTCCTGCCACATCCTCAAACAACCCTGCTTCTAAGTCAATTCTGCTATTCACATTAGCTTCCCACACTGTTTCCAATTCCAGTAACAGCTTAAGAATCACTGAATGATGGAGTTCAGTGAAAGTATAGGTTTGTCCAATTCATTTGTTGCTCCTAAGACTGCTTCCCCATTTTTGTCCTTGACATTCCTTTTCTAGCACACTCCAGACTTTGGAAAAAGACAATTTTAAACACCTACAAAACTCCCTTTCTCTTAAAATGAGACAGTGAATACAGTACAAAAAGGTCCGTCAGTGGCATCATTAGACAGACAGCACTATCAACACCTTCCTGTCAGATAAGGGAAACCTACCCTCTGCAGAGCAATTCAGGATGCTCCTTTCCTTAACAGCTACACACATTATCTCCTTCCAACTGAGGAAAAAAAATCCCAAACCAGGGTATAATCTGAAACCATGGTGAGAAATACTTGAAAAGAAAATTCACCTTTGATGAGGATACTGCTACGGAGCCTGAAGGTGATGCATCCCTTGATGTTTTCAGTGATTGACCTGATGCCTTCTCTTTACCTACAATTAAGAAAAAAATAACAACTGTGAAATCATATTAAAACGTATGTTGCAAATATAATTACTGGCTTAGAAAAACTGCAGTGAAATTTGCTCAGATCAGACATGAAATCGACAAGCTTCACCGTATGACAAATACTGATAACACTTTATTCTCCTTACAAAGAGAGAAGAGATATAACTATACTATTTAATGTATTTAGAAGAACCCGGTGAACTTTTTCCAACATTAACTGAAAGGCTGTATCAACATGACTTGGCAAGATGATGTGGTTTTACTTTTTAATATTCCTGCAATGATATAAACAGGTGAAATATTAGATACCAGTCAATCACTCCAGGAAACCAGGTTGGTAGGAACTGGTTTAGCAGGCCACAGTGTGGTGACAAGTCCTGCCATGGCAAACAGTCCTATATTGTATCAGCCACAGACTAGATGCTCTTTGTATTATCAGTGTTTTTCTTATAAGAGTCAAAATTGAAAAAATGACAATTCAAATTCACTGTGTTAATCAGTCTGTGCATACCCTTGCACAGACTGGCCACAGCCTGCAGCAGCAGAACTGGTTGCAGTGTGAACTACTAGTTTTCAACCTGTGGTCCATGGATTACATTGAAGGGATGTGCAAAAGGTAAACACAAAAAGCACATATGCTGTCAGTAGGCCTAACTTAACTAGACTATTCACACTTACTGGGGAAAATGGTTAATGGCTCCCAAATGGAAAACAATGCAGACTTCCGTTGACTTCTATCAAATTAGTATCAATACAATTAAGAATGGGATAAAAAGTTTATCAAATACTTTAAGAAAAAGATATAAATTATAATGTATCTTATATTAATATTAAATATTATATAAATATAAATAATTTTAATAGAACTATGAACGAATGTGGCTTTAATTTAATGAGTCAAATAAATAAAGAGCAAATATGGCACCTCAAAATGCTGCAATACTTTCCTTTTTTTACTCAGTGCCATAAAATATGACTGCATTGTGCTATGTATTTAAAAATACCACTACGTACACAAAACACGGAAGGTCCATGCAAAGTTCATACCTGTTAACAATAGGAAATGTTTAAAGAGTATTTGAAAATTGGTTTTCTACTCTTTCCCTGCATTTTCATACTACATGTATAGCATAGACTTAATACAAAATTTTAGGAAAACCCTGAAATTTTATATGGTTTCCTGAAACACTTTTTTCCTGTTCCTGATAATTATGATCTGTGTATCTGTAACACTTCTACAAATTTAGTTGAATATCTTATTTTTCTCTTCCTCTCCTACACTTTAAGGAATTGGCATTCACTGAGTATTGCTCCAAAATGTTAAAAGAGTTGCAGTGATGAGCTAGAAGGATAATTTATATTCTACAAGGAGTGAAATGATTCCTCAGTATTTACACAATGTTAACTAAACTCCACAAGATCTCTTCTGGCAGTAAGTGCTACATAATGGTCCGGTATGCTGCTCTGGACACTCACAGTATGCCTATCAGTGAACAGAAAAAATATCTAATTAAACTTTTCAAAAGCTGCCAAAATGAACAGTGGGTTTGGATAGTTCACTAGAAAGCATTTGCAGAGAGGGAAATCAAATCAGATTAATTTACATACACTGTACAAACAGCAGTGGCTAAGATTGTAGTATACTAAAAAAGGGCAATTTTGACTTTTTTTTTCCCCCCTAATTATTTAAACAGGAAAACCTTAAATATTTTCAAAACAGATGATTCATTAGGCTTCAGGGAAAGATTAACAGCCAAGCTTTTAAAAGACAGAACATACACAGTACAGACTTCACTGTGTTTCACATTTTTTTGAGGAAAGCAAGATTTGAGAGAATCTGACAGGAGATGAAATTGTTAAAACCCCCTCAAGCCCCTAATATTACAGGTCTGAGAACACTTTCAGAAAATGCAACAAGCAGCAGTATATGTATTTTAATTTCTCCAATTTTGTAATCCTTCTTTTCCCCTGGCTGCAGGAAGTCTTCGTTTGCTATAGATGACAGCAATTTCTTGTAAGGGAATTCAATAAAGCACATAAGGAAGAGAAGCAGTTGAGGCTAAACAGAAAATGACATAAGATACCAGAAAAAGCCATACTGCTCAAACTCCTACAGTCAGTCTAGAGCTGCTACTGAAACAACACTTACAACCCCCACATAAAATAGATAAGGGAACAGAGACTGCAGTGAAACAACCAAAAAGCAGACACCACAATTGGTACAAACTGTCTAGTTTTCTCATTAGAAATACAGCATGTAAAGTATCACAGATGTGCACACATCTCTAATTCTGTATGAGAAAAAGGGCTTATGCAGTGAGTTGCAGTTGCACCTCACTAACCAGTTCTCATCATTAATCCAGCATTACCTTGCTGAGAAGTAGTGTTTCTTTTATGTAAAGATGACATATTTCTGCTATGCTGGGACTGGTGGAAAGAATAGGATTTGCTTCTTTCAGGAGAGTAGCTCCTGCTGCTGACACTGGAGCCAGATCTGCTGTGTGGAGAATCCCTTCGGCTCCCTGGTGATTCCCTGAAGAGAGGAGAGTCCCTCCTATGAGGGGATCGTTCTCTCATGTAATGAGAAGGATAGATGCTTTTTCTTCTGAAGCCATATCTGACATCCCTTCAAAGACAACAGAAAAATAAAAGTCACTTGGTTATCCTTCCAATGTTTGTGGAACAGCACTGGATAATACAATGCCAACATTTTCTATTTGGTTAAATACTAATAGATTAGCTGTCATCTGCAGAACATGTCTGAAATCTTCAGTGTTGTTAGAATAACAGGCAATGAATGAAAAACAAGTAGGAAAATAGGAAAAACTTGTATATGTATGTAATTATTTTCAGACTTCATTCACCTGCTTCATTGCTATAAGCTAATTCCTTTCCGTTTCTCAATAATACAGCTAAAACGTGAGAAAAAGACATTCAAGAAATTGGGACTATCACATTTTATTTCTTCAGATTCACTCAATTTCACCTGGAAATTAAACCTTCATTTACAATAACTAAAAATGCATACACAAATAATTGCTTACACTCTTTGGCTGTTTTTCAACTCTGTTTTTCCCTTACCCTTATTTTCAAGGGAGTATGGTTTAACACACCTTGCTATGGGAAATACCATTGAGGGATTACAATTTATATCCAGCAAGGACAAAAAGAAAACTGCAGAATATCTATCCTCATGCCTATGTATCCACCCAAGGTCAAACCATGAATGAAAACATGAAAATTTACACCTACTAAAGAGCCTATGTCTTTCACAACACACAATACTCATATTGAACTTTACTTTAAAACGTCACAGACTCAGTTATTATATGAAACGCAACTGATTTGAAATCATAATCTAGTCAACACCAACACTTTTTACTACATGTATATATTGTTACTCCAGACTATACCCCAAATGTCCTGGTTACCTGCAAATTATATTAATTTACATATGTATGCGAAGGTCAGAAAAACAGCATAAAATTGAACTTTTCCTAAAGAATCTCAAAACTAACATGCAAGCAAACACCTACTGAGTCTAGACTTGTGACATGTGCCTTGGTCAGAAGACACATTGCCAAGAGAAGCAAGTAATTCTCAGCTCTTCCACAGCACTGCTATATGGCATTTACAGTAAGCCAGAATGTACCTTACTTCACTGCCTTTCTCTCCTATTTCTCACCATAGTCCAATATTTTATATAAGGGAATGTCTCGACGATGAGCAAAGATCTGGTGGTCTCATTTAGCACAATGTTGCTATAGCTAATTTCATGTTGGTGGAGAAAAGGAAAAAAGCCCTCTAGTGTACAATTCCCATAACATGTTGCAGGCCCACATTTATGACGGGTAACAACGGACTCTAGCATGTCAAAAGTGTTTTGTACTGCTGAAACTATACAGGTAGCACCACAGTAATACAGACACTATTACACTGATGTGTTTTACACAGTGCTGATTTACTGTTTGCATGGAAAGCACAACTGCCTGAAACAAAGCCAGGTTTTACAGCTAAACAGTTATTTCACTGTTAACAGACCCTAGGCTTTTTACAAGTATGTTATCTTACAGAAAAGCATATTTTACAGAACTACATACCAAAACTGATACAAGACAATGTTACACGGATTTATACTTAACAGGGGTGCTAAAAATCAATATTCATTTCCTTTCTAAACATCTTTCCTTCTTCTATTTATTGTGACACATTATTCTTCCCAAACAAGCCAGCAAAAGAAACAATTAAGGACTTGCTAAATAATACTCTATTTAATAGCCTTTATACGGTAGCCATTGTATGCTTACATCAAATAATGAATCACCCCAGAATACACAGAAGGATAATCCTCCTGCTTTCTTCAAAGGCCTAAGAGCAATGTGCTCACCTTTGGACACTACTTTTTAGGAAACGTGTAGATTAACATGACACTTTCCAGAAAGAACAACTGAAATTATCAGAGTCTGAGAAAACACATTTAATGACAAAATACTCAAACCTCTTTGTCCCCTTAAATTGAGCAGAAAGAAATCTAAAGAAGCCAGGCGAGCTCGCTAACCTATGAGACACAGCTGAAAATAGGGAACTACCGCTTTATCTGCATTACATGTATAAACATTTTATGTAGCAACAGAGGAAAAGTTCAGACTTTAAAAATAATCAGAAGATTAGCTCACCACTGAACTAGTTTGTCTAGCTAAGTAGGGTTTTTCTTATTTATTAAAGAACATATTGATCAAATATTTACCCAGAATGAGTTATGTACAGCCCATTTTTTCTTCAATTTCCTTCTAAACATCTCTTTTTAAATAATCCTATTTATTTTTAAAGCACAAGCTTTCTGGCAGACCAGTACACCACTTTTACACCCAAAACACGTTTTCATGACCGAGTTATGAAGCCCTAGTACACAGAGAAGTTCATTATGGAAACGGTTACAGAGCCCCAGCCACTGCACACATAATAAATGCTCTAATATCCACATAAGAATTTACAAAATACCATTGAAACACACTTTAAAACAGGAAAACATTTTAAAGCCTCATTCTACAATAACATTATGCACAAAACAGTAGATTCTAACTTTCATTTTTCAAATTTTCATTTCATCGCTCCATGTTAGTTCCTAACTGGGCCGTATCTCTTACTAAACACTCACGCCATTAACTATATTAAATCTTTCTCAGACAGCATAGCAACAGCACAGCATTTCTGATGCTTTCCATTAATATAACAAACGACACTGAACAGAACAAAATAAGCATTGTTTTACTTTTTTTTTTCCCTTAAATACTTAAGCTAACATACACCTGCAATTTGGTAATGAAGGCCCCAATTCAGCAAAGCAGTTAAGCACATGCTTCAGATTCCAACACATACTCAAAAGGTTTATTGAGCAGGGACAATATTTAAGAGAGATGCAAAATTTTGTGCTCAGCTCTAACTTTAAAATAAAACTACTGCCCTTAATAAAAAATACAGGATTAATTGCTTTCATACTTCTCTTTGTATTTTGTATTCATATTTTTCACATAGTCCTGAAAGCGCAGTGTAGTTCTCTCAGCAGTATTGCAACAGGAAGCATTAGAATGTTTAACCTCCATGAATCTTGACCATTAAATTCTCACTGAAGCTGATAATCTTGGATGAGCTCCTGAAATTTTATAACTAACCAGCCATACCCTGACAGACCATCCACAAAGGGCAGCTGAGGGAAAAACACAAGCCCAACAGTTACCACCGTTAACCAAGTTCCAAGTTCTTGGAGGGAAAAACACAAATACAGAACAAAGGTACAGCCTTCTGCATAGCAGGAGATCAAGGGAATACAACACAGAGCAGATTTACAGTTGCCAAAGGATCAGAGACACCATCTTTCTTAAGCTACCATTACCTCATCAAGTACTGCTCTTACCCCTCCCTGCCATTTTAAGGCCTGCAAACCATTCAGTAGCAATGTTGGGGGGAAACTGAGAGTTAATGGAAGCCTTCTCATTTACAAAAGGGAGGGGTACAGCTTAAGCTACGTGAAACAAAGACTAACACAAACTGGTGTACCAGTTTGCATTTTAAGAGTACATAAAGGCAAAATTAAATTACTTGGCAGATGTGAAATGTCTGAGAATGGAGATGTACTTGGGAACATGAAAGCACATCACATGCAATTTGGGAAGAAATTCTGTGTGCAAGAGAAATCTCAGTTTATTCTCAGTGAATTCATGCAACTGGGCAACTGGGTACAATACTATATGCTTACTATTCTCTTGGACTTCTACATCCTAATACAGACACCCATCTTTTCAGTTAAAACATTAATCTACGATGTGGTCCAGCCACAGAGGACATAACTCACACTTCTGATACTGCACTGAACAGATTAGCAACTCTACAGCATATCGCTGTGGAGCAGAAACTGTAGGCTCTTTCAGTAACTCACAAGTGAGCACAGTTTATCACCTAGATAAACAGTCAACAGAGAAATAAGTTTGTGACCCCTTCCATCTGAAATTACTGTTGTCAAAGGGGTTAGACATTCCATTTATAGGCTTGGGCTTGATTACTAGCCTTGCCTAAAAGTAACTCACACAATTTTATAAATAATTTGAGGAAATTATAAGTACCTCCTGAGATACCAGATTTCAGTGCAAAGAGAGGAAAAGGAGAAGATTTGAACCATGCTTCTTAACTCAATACACTTTCCCTGTCTCATAATACACAGGCAAAGCGAAGGAGGAGGATGAGTGAAAGAAAAACAAAAAAGCCTCTTGCCTGCCCTGTCAGGACACTGCAGGGGCTGGCAGAGCTACCAACATGACTCAGATGATGGGGAAAACTTTAATAAAGTATACTACACCCCGACCTCCAAGTTTCTCAAGTGATTTGCTGCCTTAAAACATCTGAAAAGCAAATACAAAGAGTCAAGAAACACCTCTACTTTTAATATCTTCAAAGTAAATGTAGGCGGTGGAAGATTACAGCCACCATCCTCTCTCCCAGAACTCATTCCCTTTCTTTCCAAAAGTACCCAGTACATCTGTGCAACAAACCAACAATTTACGCTTTAGTTCTGCTTCACAGACTTACTATAATCTCGCTATTGTTCAAAGATCTTTATGATGATTTATCATAAGCTAAAACAATAGAGTGAGTTACACCACTGCAGATAAAACTAATTGCATCTAGTTCCACTGGCATTCATTTGAACGTTTGAAATGATGACAGATTTCTTACAACTGGTTTTCAACATTTTATGACTAAGCAAGTAACTGCAGTACTGGTAAATGGTATCTGCACTTGTTTTAAATGAAATTAATGCAATTAGGGCTAGACAATGCAATCTTATTAAGAGCTTTCTGCATGAAGGCAAAAGGAAATAGGCATTGCAAAATAGTGGTAACTCATGTAGAGAAGGGTAACAAGACATACCAAATATACAATAAAAATTAAAAATATATAAATGCCTCATGATATTTATGCTGCACGTAGTACTGCTTAAGTCAACAGCCGCAAACACCAAAACTCCCCACTGATGCCATTTGTCCAGCTCACTCAGTATAAAAGCTACTAAATTCACCTCCCCATCCACCTCGGGATGTTATGAGAGATCAGGGAATAAAATCTAAGACA